CATCCGCAAACCCCCTGATGATCTCTCCCAGCGGCTTCATATAGATGTTTAAAAGTTTGGGGGAGAGGACGGAACCCTGAGGAATCCATATGTCATGGATTCTACTCAATACTGATCCAGAGCAGAACTCCAACGTATAGTTAGCAGAGTAAAAACTTAAACACGTTGCGGGATTCTCAAACAATAGACCAGAGGCAATTGTATTTCATCTAGCAGAGCTTTACTGCTACTGAAGGAAAATGAGCATAATGGTCACAAATGCAATACATTCAGGATTGGCCCTGTCTGTAAGAAGTCCAGTTGCAACAGACTTAAACTTACAAGAACTTATAACAAGACTAAAACTTAACGATATATACAGAACACCACACCAGAAGGAAAGAGAGACAGAAAGAGAGTGTGAAGCCCAGGCTCCTTCTGGCCTCACTATTATAGTCAGCATGACCTTGACAGAAAGAGATAATGGGACCAGTTTTGTCGTGCAGCGGTAAATTAATCAACGCAGAGTCTTCTTCATAAACAGAATAAAACTTTTACATGGGAAAATAAAGTTGTTCATAAACAGCATAGTTAAAGAGCATACACAGAGTGCTCATAGTAGCTATCTGACTCTTCACAGAGGCACAGTCTTAGTGATTTACTAGAGTGCTGGAGCTACTCTGTCTGCAACAACACAACACACACACTGGCTGACACGCTAACACACACACGCTCAGAGTCACTGAGGCCCACAGAGAGGCTGGCTATTTTTATAGGGAGAATGAAACTGGTATTGTCATAATGAGGCTATTATTGGATTGTAATTGAAAACTAATAAAATTGTGATCATGGTATCTCCCCTGCCAGGTAAGTAGAGGAGACATAAGGTTCACCCGCATGTTATAATCTGAGAGAAAATGTAATGAAAATGCTGTACTAATAGTATCTGACCCCGGCCAAACTGGCCAAGATGTACAAGAAAAGCTCTGACATTTGCTGGAGATGCAAAAAAGGGGTTGGTACCTTTATGCACATGTGGTAGGACTGTGTGAAGATAAGAGAATTTTGGGATATAATATACAATGAACTCAAAAAGATCTTTAAATTCTCATTTCAAAAAACCCCTGAAGCTTCTTTGTTAGGCCAGGGGTCAGCAAACCTTTTCAGCAGAGGGCTGGTCCACTGTCCCTCAGACCTTGTGGGGGGCTGGACTATACTCTGGGGGGGGGGGGAATGAATGGTGGAGGCGAAGGAGGGACGGCGGCTCCAGAAGGGGGGTGTGTGACTGGACTTTGGCGCTGGGTAAGCCCTGAGCCACCACCAGCACAGGTGCCTTCTTGCAAAAAGGGAGCCAGACTCCCAAGTCCCCCAGAGACCCCTTTGACCATATCCACCCCTGACCTTTACACACTCAGGAAAAGGAAGGAAAAAACTAGGGCTGTCGGGGGAGAAAGAAGTGCACGTGTCATCTCACAGACGAGGACTTCTTTAAAGCTGCTGCAACATGGGACTGCACTGCTCCTTCTGCAAAAAGTAGATGAGGGTGAGAGAGGGGCCAGGTGAAGATTGAGGGACACGTGGGAAGGTGCTTTTAAAAAAGCCCCAGGAGAGAGATCCCCACCCCCTCCTGCTTGCACGCAGGTAGGAGTTGGGATCGGGGCTGCTCCGACAGGCAGCGTGAAGCCTCCCTTCCCAGCTGAGAGATCCCAACCTGAGAAGCAACGTGCGGATCCCCGCCTCCTGCTCCTTCCCCTTTCGGAGGAGAGAGAGAGAGAGACAGCAACGGCTAGCATGGCGCTAGGGAGCTGCTGCCTGCCATGTTTCCTGCAACGGAAAGGGTCTTGGGCTCCTTTGGCGCCCGCCTGCCGCAGCCCCTCCCAGGAAAGGCCCCCCCCCCCCGCCCTGAGCGGCTGCATCGCCCCATGGAGCCGCCTGAGCCGAAACCATCGTGCCCCCCGCTGCTCGCTCCCTCTGCAGTGCCTGGGCAAGGGCCGGGAGCCAGCGGGCCGGATTTAGAACCCTGGGGGGCCTGATCCCGCCCTGGGGCTGTAGTTTGCCGACCCGTGTTAGGCATTATGTCCACTGATACACAAAAAAATCACAGAACCCTCTTTATGTACGCAACCACAGCGGCGAAGATTTTAATAGCAAAAAACTGGAAAGGTGATGTAATCCCCACAAAAAGTGATTGACAAGCAATGATGATAGAATATTCAGAACCTGCAAGGATGACTGGGAGAATAAGAGGAAATTCTAACTAGAAATTTAGTAAAGATTGGACAATGTTTGAAGAATATCTTAAGAAGTACTGTAATAACACAAATCTCCTGACAGATTTGGATTGAATATTGAAGTTTAAGGAAACTATAAAGTAAATCCCCCCTGATAATTAACTGAAAAGAATTATAAAAATGAAGTATGTATAGACTAGCAAGGTATAAAAAGCACAATGAGGTGAATTGGAAGTTAAAGGGTATGTAATGTCAAATGAGGTGGTGTTAGTCAGTGAGTATGGTCTGTTTATGTTGTTTTTTGTTGTGTTTATGTTCTATGTAAATTGTTTTGTAATAAAAAATGTATAAAAAAGAAAACTAATGAAAATTATTTTTTTAAAAAACACACCCTTAATATGTCAGTCAAAAGCCACAGTTCCACAACGCAACAGGTACTGCTGTATGAAAGGAACATCAGACAACAGGACAGGGACAGAGGTCCTGGCATTACAATCAGGAAAACCACGGCAATATTCCCCACAGCCAAAGGCCCCTAGCTTGGGCGGCTGGTCCACTCACCTGCGGAAGGCCTGCTCCGATTGTCAGTGGCTCTCCATCACCTGCAGCCTGGTCTCAGCAGCTGCTTCTGGAAACTGAACCAGGGACCTTCTGAGTGCAGGGCAGGTACTGCACCACCTAAAGGAGGATGCTGCCCTGTGCTCTGTGGTTCCTCCCTGCAACCCCCCCCCCACTGTTTTCTGACCCCTTTTGATTTACAAGTTGTGGAAATTTGTCACCCAGAGCTGCCAAGAAGCATTTCTTCTCCCCTAGGACAGCTCTTGGGGCAGCCACCACTTCTCTGCAAGCTCTTTCAGATGAGCTGCAGCAAATCGAGACCTTCCCAGCCAGGGAGACCGCACAGATGGTAACAGGAGTGGGACATTAGTCAGCTCCAAAAAAATGGGGTGGGAGACAGAAGCAATGTTTTCTCCAACTCAAAATGTACACAGTATTCTTTGTATTATTCTTTGAACTAAAATTAATCACAGATAACACGTGCAAAATTCTTGGAGGGGTTTGTGTGCAGGGAGAGGATTTTTTATTATTATTAACCTGCCTCATCTGGAGCAGTAAGTGGTGTGGAGAAGTGCACGGCTCCAGTGTCCCCTTGTGGATCTAGCTTGTTAAATGCACATAGTGATCTCTGTGCAAAATGCAGACACATCTGTGTGGTTCAAATTAACCACTCAAATTACTAATTTTCTCACTCCTTGTACAAGCTCATGCTCCCTTGCTGATGGGGAAGCTGTTTCCTGGGAAAGCAAGTGGCTGTGCTGGGGCTCCAGTGTCAGACTTGGACCTGGGAGAAAGCAGGTTTCAAATCCCCACTCCGTCTTGGACAGTCACTCCAGTCACTGTCTTTCTGTCAGCCTAATCTACGGCACAGGGTTGTAAGGGAGATATGGGGAGGGAGAGGATAATTGTGAGCCACTTGGAGGAAAAGAAAGATACAAATGTAACCATGAAAAAGGAATATTTATTTATTTTATATTGTGCCCTTCCTTGCAAAGGAGCTAGGTCAGCAAACATTGTGATAAAACATTTTTTAATTTTATTTTTTTTAACAAACAATTCCAGTCCAGGTGCAGACTGGGAAAGATCCCAACTTAAAACATTTAGGAGGAGAGGAAGTTTTTCAGCAGGTGCCAAAAAGACAACAGAGGTGGCACCTGCCTAATTCAAGGGGAGATTTCTTAGACTAGGCGCCACAACACTAAATATCAGGAAATCCACTCAGCACAATCCAGATAAGGCGGTGTCTGCAAGAGGCCTCACCTGCACAGCGCAGGCGAAGATGATTTTTTAGGCATCCTGGTCCCTTGGCTCTACAGGGCTTTATTCCCCAAAGGTAAAAAAGGTAAAGGTAAAGGACCCCTGGATGGTTAAGGCCAGTCAAAGGCGACTATGGGGTGCAGCGCTCATCTTGCGCTTTCAGACCGAGGGAGCTGATATTTGTCCGCAGACAGCTTTCCAGGTCACGTGGCCAGGAGGACTAAACTGCTTCTCGTGCAACGAAACACTGTGATGAGTGCCAGAGCGCATGGAAATGCCATTTACCTTCCCGGCACAGCAGTACCTATTTATCTACTTGCACTGGCATAAAAAGTGCATCGTATACATGGATCAGAACACAACACAGCTAACGAAACATGGTAGGAGATACTTTAGGATAAACTGTCAAGACATAATGAGGTATGAAAATGGCTCTTAGGACCTATGGTGATGTAATTTCATGGCGTCACTCAAAAATCTCCACAACATCATTCCTACAATTGTTCAGCAGATAAGAAACACTGGAAGAGTCAGTGTGATAAATCCCCACCTTCAACAAGGGGGTCAAATACTTATATATTTTTGCATAAAATGGGCAATAAAACAGTATCTTTCAGAGGATGGGATTTTCAAAACTCTACCTTGCAAAACTGCAGACGGTAAGATGTTAAATCTTGCGAGGGAAAGAGATCTGTGTAGGTGGGGATTGTAAAGCTGGTGTAAATAGGGAGTGTCCTGGCCAAACAAGGGTGGAATTCCCAACCCCAACAGGGAACAGGTTTTAGTGGCTGCACTGCAAAAGATTTGGAATTCAGTTTCTAGGGTTCTGCACTTCATTGTCTGGAATGCTTCCAATTGCGGGAGCATCTTCATCTTGGCCTGGTAGCTAATTGGCCGTGCCCTGTGAGGGGATGCCACAGCAGTCACTTCTGGGGCTGAGCCGCTTGGCGTTACTCTGTTGTCTGGAGCAGCGGCTGTAGGCGACACCCGGTACGGGAGGAGGGGGTGGCTGATGCTGCAGTGACGGTGGCGGCAGAGGGACCCAGCGGTGCAGTGCGGCAGCGACATCGCTTGCCTGTTTGGCACGACTCAGTTAGGGATTCCACAGCAGCAAAATCCAGAAGCCGAGAAGGGGGTTATTGAAGCGGTGGCCCCCTTTTCGCTGGGTCCCTCTGCTGCCACCGCTGCAGCATCAGCCACCCCCTCCTCCGGTACTGGGTGTCGCCAGTGGTTGGCGCAGCTGGTGCTGAGTAAAGGAAGCCCAGGTCCGGTGGCAAGCGAGCAGCCAATGGAAGTGTGGCACTCAAAACGGAAGTGCACCCCCCGAATGGAATATATTCGGGTTCCCAAAAACGTTCGAAAACCAGAACACTCATTTCCGGTTTTGAAGTGTTTGGGTTCCAAATAGTTCGTGAACTAAGCTGTTCGAAAACCGAGGTACCACTGTATAGGGTGTGCCAAACTCCCCAGAGGAAAGGTGGGGTCATCTTCATCTGCTTTTCCTTTGCTCATGATCACTGCCTCTCACCCATCTTGCCACCATCTCTCCCCTCCCCTCTCGGTCCCTTGTGGTTGCCTAGAGACCACAATAGCTGAGAGATGTTTGAAAAGGTCAGACACACACTGCATTAAGGGGGGGAAAGCCCACACAGCAGGAGAACAAATACATACAAAAGGCAGCTATAACCTTTTGACACAAATAAGCACAGATCAGGTAAAGGCTGGAAGGAGTTTGTTTTGTTAGCAGTGTTGAAGGGGGTGGAAATAAAAAAGGCACAAGAATTATACCAGCTTCCGTAGGCTCTTCAGCATATAAATCTTGACCTTTTCCATTAGAGGCAGAGATGTGTGCTCTGATATATGATCACAGTCCCTCCCCTAGTGGCTGTAAGGCTGGATAACTGCAGATGACGATCACTGCAAATGCGCGGTAGCAACCTTCAGAAGGGGGCTGAATCAGCTAGCAGCTTATCATTCACCAGGAGGCAAAAATAACTTGTGCACCTTGTTTAGCCTCTCTCCCTGCTTAGAAGCCCTAGATGGCCAAGGAAGGTTGCAAGAGCCTTGCTTTGTCTCTGTGCAGGGTGAAAGAAGTTAAAATATTCAGCCGCTCAGCATGCTCCCTTCTAAGAGAATGGTACCAGATGCACCTCCAGCCTAACCTACCTCACAGGGCAGTTGTGAGGATGAGGAGAGCCACGTCTGCCCCTCAAGCTCCTTGGAGGGAAGGTGGAATATAAATGTAATAAATAAAGACTAAGAGTTGTCAGCCAATTAAATTCTACTCAGCAGGGGTGCTAACTTGAATGAAATATTGGGGGGCCAGGTAAGCCCCACCCCACATAATCACACACACCATTTGAATGACAATGCCCATCAAGTTTGCAGGCGCACAGACCCCTCAAATATTTTATTGCAGGGGCTGAAGCCCCCACGGCCCCTAGAAGTTGGCACCTATGCTACTCATTGTAGACCCCTTGAAATTAACAGGCCCAAGTTACTCATGTCTATTCCTTCCAGAGGCTCAACTTTTGACAGGCTTAGGAAAACTTGGCCCTCCAGATGTGTTTGGACTGCAACTCCCATGATCCCTAGCTAACAGGACCAGTGGTCAGGGATGATGGGAGTTGTAGTCCCAAAAACATATGGAGAGCCGAGTTTGCCTATGTCTGGCCTAATGCTTAACCAAACCTTTACAGATTGGTGGTAGCTTCGGGTTTCATGGGTTGGAGTCTTCTGCCATCAATTTTAAGGTGCTACAGGAGACTCTTTTTTTTGATATAATGTATTTTGTTGTAACTTATAACTGGGGTTTATATGCAACTTATAACTAAAGAGGATGATGTGTGGAAAGCCTAACTTATTTTTTTCTTTTACATGCAAACAGGTTTGGGAGTCGATATGTGAGGCACAGTCTGCCAGACTCTCCCAATAACATCTTTTCTGGTGTCCATGTACAGGAAACATGCTCCACAGAACACGATCCATGAGAGTGAGATTTCCAGTCAACCACCGGCGCATGCAGCTTGACTAAACAAGCACCATATGCCCTGAAATTTGACAAATTAGTGCATAATTAACATTAAATTATGAAGAAACGGAGGAAATGAGGAAGCAAGCTGCTTGCTACACGTTGCAGTCTTACACACTTGGTCTCCTTGAAATGCCTTTGGCTTTAGTCCCACAAAAGCATCTGCCATAGCTCACTGACCGCTGCCAGTCAGTGCAATGACATCGATCTAAATGGACCAAGAAACTGATTCTGCAGAATTTCACTGGTCCATTTCACTGGTCCATTTAACTCAATATTCTCTAAACTGACTGGCAGCACCTCTCCAAATTCTACAAGCGCCTGTTCTTCAGGTTCCCTACTTGAAATATCTGGCATCTTAGGTAGCCAGTCTAGCACAGAAAGTTGCCTTATACCTAGCTTAGTGAGGAAAAGGGACAATAATGGAGGGGGGGCATACAAAAGGCTGATAGAATTATTAATGGTATGAGAACAGTTCTTACTTCCTGTCATTGCAGGACTTACGCTCACTACATAAACCAGAGGGATCCTGCATGCAGCCTTTTTTGTCGGATCGTGGCAACTTTTGACACCCACCTGCAGCCTTCCCAAAGCCATGTCAGGAGGCGCTGGGCTTTGGGAAGAAGAAGAAGAAGAAGAAGAAGAAGAAGAAGAAGAGGAGGAGGAGGAGTTTGGATTTGATATCCGCTTTATCACTCCCCTTCAGGAGTCTCAAAGCGGCTAACATTCTCCTTTCCCTTCCTCCCCCACAACAAACACTCTGTGAGGTGAGTGGGGCTGAGAGACTTCAAAGAAGTGTGATTGGCCCAAGGTCACCCAGCAGCTGCAGGTGGAGGAGCGGAGACGCGAACCCAATTCACCAGATTACGAGTCCACCACTCTTAACCATGACACCACACTGGCTCTCAGTGTGGGAAGGAACGTGATGGCTCTGACAGGGTCTGAGAGTTATTTTGCCACCTTCCCAAAGCCCAGTTAGTGCTTTCCCAGCTTTGGAAAAGAGGCGGGAGGGCTCTAGGACCATGCCACAGTCTGACACCTCCTTCTCAAAGCCCAGTGCCTCGCTTGGGCTGCTTTGGGAAAGCAGCGCAAGAGTGTGTGTCAAATTTTGGCCTTGCTCCCCCCACCCCATGTGACAAGGCACTGGGCGGTCCACAAGTTCCATGTCAAAGCACTCTTGCGGCCCAATAGGCATGGGAAGTTGGACTCTATGTTGCCTAGTTCACACTTCACATGCAGATCACAAGGTGCGGCAATGGTTTGTTTACAGTAGCACTAAAAGGGAAACATGGACTAGATTTCCCAAACACCTGAAGGGCACCAGGGGCCACTAGGCACCACACCATGGGGGGGGGGCACTTACCGTGAGGCCTGCAAGCCACGCGTCTCTCCTGGGAGTGATTAGGTGCCTGCAGACGCTGCAGGCAGCGTGGGACTGGCATCTGCCCGCTGCCTCATCCTCAGTTGCCCTACAGCTGAGGAGGTGCTGGTGGGCGGATTCTGTGGAGGCTCTGTGCTGCTAAAAAAGCAACGTGGGCCTGCCGGGTGCTGGAGCAGAACGAGGCTTGGGCACGGGGATTCTGGCGTGCCCTGCCCTATCCCGCCCCACGGGCGCCACGTGCTGCCCTGGGCACCCAAGTGGCTGGCTATGCCGCTGCCTCCAACTCCCACCCCCCCGACCAAGGACAGTGTTTTCTGGGGCTGATAGCAGCTAGAGTCTAGCAACATCTGGAGGTGACCAGGTTAGAGAAGGCAGATTTTGACAAATTTAAAGATAAGCAGGGCTCCATTGTTCACGGTCACCTCAATGTCTTCTGTTGAGAGCTGTTGATGCCACATTCCCAGACCAGCAGGAACATCTGGGAGAACTGTGAACTGAAGATCTGGCCCTGGAATTTTTCCTGTCAAGACCTGCAGCATTGGATAACAGCCCAGGCTGGCTTGACATTGTCAACACCGCCTGGTAAAGCCCGGCAGATCATTTAGAGTCAGATCACCCCTCTTGCTTCAGGGTTTTTGCCAAGATCAGCCAAATATCCAGTTTTCTCCAATGCCTGAACCTCCAGGACTCTCTACCAGCTCTCTGGCCCTGCTTTGTGGGGGAGTTTGCCTGCCTGGAACATGTCCTTGACTGTGACACCACCTCCAGCTTGCCTGGACAGAGGATGCAGTGTGGCCCCCAGCAGGTCAACCATGATAGAACGTGGCCCTCTGCCAGAAAAAGACTTCTCTCCTCTGAATGAGATACATTTCATGACATCTGCCACTGAGAAGCAGTCATTTACCCTTCATAATCTGATTTTGTTATTAACCGTCCCAGACTGGGAAAAAGAAGGTAGATGGGTCTTCCATCATCACATTTCTGTACTTTTTATTATTCTAATAGTTTGCATTGATGGTTTCATTGTATATATTTGTTATATTTGTGCAAGGGAGGGCCTTAATTTGCTTAGAGAAGTAATGCAGAAATTCTCAGGTAAATATATTTCAAATATTTAAAATAAATGCAAAAATTAAGTTTATCGTGTGAATTAATACACATCCATTTCCATGTACAAGTTGCCTTTTAACCACTGCTGATATCCATCTTCAAAGGGACGAATGGGAAACCTTGTCCACTCACCAAACTCTCTTTTAGCTCTTTGCTAGTCTTAACTGCTTAGGAATGCAAACAAACTAACTTGTTTTTTCCACCCTTGTTAAAAAGGTATTTCTGGAAAAGAAAAAATATATAGCACCATACACACAAGATTCCAGCAGCCTGCACAATCTTTGTAGTGCAGATCTTATCCCATACTGCTGTGCAGTAGATGCACTGTAAACACCCATCTTCTAGGTCTGTTACATCATAATGTTCAATCTTTGGGAAGGAGTAAATTTTCTTTTAAGATGTATACTGCTACACGTTTCTTTACGACACAACCAGGTGGTTTATTTAAATGTAGGATCAAATCCTACTGATATCCTGCGGATCCGGAATGCACTCACTTTTCAGACACACCATTGCTCCTTATGTGAAGATTTCAACTATCACAATAAATGTCTGAACAAACCAGGCTTGGTCTAATCACCACTAAATGGTTGAAAATTTGGGCAAAGTGGCAAAGTCCAAACTATTTGGTAGTCAGACAGCAATGTTATTTAAATCAAATCCTCTCACTTTGGTTTAATTAACACCATGGTTTCCAGGATCATGAACACCCTAAAGACTTATGTACATTCTGAGTTTTTCCTTAACCTTACCTTTGCTGGCATGCCCAAATAACTATGGTTAATTGCCAAAATCATGGTCTGCAAAGTTCTTCAAACTCACAGTGTGAAGGTTAGCTCCAAGAATAGATTGCCCAATTTGAAATTGAATGACAAATTCTGGTTAGGGGAACCCAGAAATGGAGGAAGGAAATTGGAACGCAAGTGTGCTGATTGGGAGTGAGACTCTGCAAACCTACAACACATTCCTGATCCACCAAACATCTCAAACTAGCTGTTCATTTATTTTAAAAAAAGTTAAGTGGGGTAACTTAGCTTTTCATAGAAGTTTCATGGTATGTTTTCTTTTTTAAAAAAATACAGCAAGTCAATTTTGACTGCCTTACAGCAGAAAATATTTGTAAGAAATGTTGCTATGTCCTCAAAGCCTCCTGCTCACACCCAGTCCCTGAAAACACAGACGTCTATGTAGTAAAGACACACACACAGAGGTTGCTGCTGTTCTGAGGATCTGTTCTGAGGATCACTGTTGCAAAGATCACGATATCCGAAACACTGTGATATTGGCACCCTGAGATATAGTGTCACTAGGATCTCTTGATGTCACAGTACAGTGGTACCTCTGGTTACATACGCTTCAGGTTACAGATTCCGCTAACCCAAAAATAGTACCTCGGGTTAAGAACTTTGCTTCAGGATGAGAACAGAAATCATGCTCCAGCGGCGCAGCAGCAGGAGACCCCATTAGCTAAAGTGGTGCTTCAGGTTAAGAACAGTTTCGGGTTAAGAACGGACCTCTGGAACGAATTAAGTACTTAACCTGAGGTACCACTGTATTTTCCAGGCTCGAGTTTTCAACATTAGAAGTCTCATTTCATGTTTTCATGAGAGAACGTATGCTTACCTTGTGGTGAATTTTCCTGCACTCCTTTCCTATTGACTAAGGGAAAGTCTGACATCACACATCTCCATGCTTCCAGTAGCTGCCCTTCTGTAGTTACAACCAACATGGGCACTTTTAGCATCGCGTTCCTGTCTATCAAAATTCTCAGCAGAGGAGACCCTTTCTCCTGTTGGCCTCGGTGCAGCTCTTGGTGGGGTTTCCTCCGTTGCTGCTCCATCGCAGTGATCAAACCAAATCCTGATTTACAACATCTTGAAAATCCATTATGCCTACATTTGCAATGCAATACCAATTTTTAGCTGTTTTTAAAATGCTTTGGAGCAAAAGGTGGCACCCGAGAAAAGACTAGTCAAATGGCAACGAGGGTTCACTCCTTTTGGAACACTGACTTCTCATGGTGATCATCTGTCATTGACTACGATATACACATATATTCACTTTTTATTCATTTTCCTTTACACAATCAGATGATACCTGGAGTCCCAATAACCACAGCAATACAAAAACCAACTGAGATGGACAGCAATGAATGGTCATTTTTTTCAGCTTTACACCCCTGAGGGTAGGTTTACCACAGTCTGATTGTGCGTATAAGTCTTTATGTCAGCCACATGTTCTAAAGGCACCAGGTACAGGCTTCTCCTTTCTAGATTTATTAGTAAATAAATCAGTGATGAGTCTGCAGCCAAAGTATCTTTCTTCTTTTAATGTTTGGTAAGCTCTGTCCCTCAGTTACATATTTTGGTAGTGGGCTGCTGAACGTATGGCACTTAAAATGTATTTCACATTTACACGACTTCACCTTCTTGAAGAATGAACTGCCTTGTTCATGCATCCATTTACTAAACACCAGTGCAATCCCAAGGGAGACAGCATTGTGTCTGCTATCCTTTGCACTTTTACATGCTGGGTAGAAGTTGATGTTTGCCCTATTATTGCAGAGCGGTCCACTGCAGAA